AAGAGTTCCCGTTCTAATTACTTTTTCAAGTGCTTTCGGATAATTTCTAGCCATTTTCAAGGTGATTTGTTAGCATATTTTCCTGAGTTTATATTCTAAGCTCTCTTGTATATAAGTATTTGCCATTCTAAGCTGTGTTGTATAGGAGTAGTAGTAACTCCATGTTAGATGAGAAATTTATAATTGTAATCATATTTTAAAAAGTAATTTTGAAACAATATACCAAACAAAAAGGACATCTTCAACAGCAGTAGTAGTGATATTAGCAGCAGTTACCACCCTCTAGCGAGCACACAATGCTACTAGAGTTAATGCTATGTCTGTGTTCGCAGTACTCCCCTTCAACGGAGTTTTCTATGACGTGACCACTGACAAAAAAATTAAAAATCTCATAAAAGCCCGTTTTACTTTTTGCCGGTTATTTTTATTCAAAATTTCACAAATATCCAGACCGGTACACGAAGTAAAAATACCCAAATATGGGTATCCACTAAAAAAAAAAAAAAAAAAAAATAACGGTTTAAAGTAATATACAAGGTCTGATCAAAAAGTGTCAAGACTGGTGCTATGAAAAGAAAACCACAATACATATAAATTCAGCATTTAATCTCCTTCGAAATAATCCCCGCTTCCGAAGTCACACACACTATCCAGCGTCGTTACCATTAATGGAAGTCAATCAGTTATGTGCCATGCGTGATACACATTCATTTATCTTTCGATACATGACTGACGAGGCAGATATTTTTTTCCTGCAGTAGGTTGCCATTTCTTTCTGCGGTAGACCAGTTGCCATCCAAGGCTATAAAACCCGGTTGTCCTGTTATTTACCCATAGCTGGGGAGAGAGGAAGAGGATTCATACCTTTCCCAAGGGTATTAGTACGTAAATGAATGTAATGGATTCGACTGGAATTCGAACTCAGCTCTTCGATTCCTCAATCCGAGCCGCTATCCATTACTCCACCATGATGGGGATAGCGAGCAGCTGCCTCGTCACATTCTCTTGGATTTCTTTGACGTCTTGAAATCTTGATTTTTTTCAAGTGGGATTTGATTTTTGATGAGGAAAAAAATCGCAAAGCGCGAGATCTGGTGAATATAGTGGTTGTCGGACGTGGGGAATGTTGTGCTTGGCTAAAAACTGCGACACTAGCCATGGTCACTGATGAAACCTTTGTGATGTGGTAATCCGACCACATTCGATACACTTTCTTTCCAAGCACTGTCATAAACAAGTGCGCGACAGAGTTCGAGGTCAATCTGCGCTAAGCGGTTTCACTCTGCATACTTTAGCTCTGTTACTATATCAACAGTCCCGATACTTTTTATAAGACCATATATATATATATATGTGTGTGTGTGTGTGTATTTAGGCTGTAAATTCTCTTTTAGACATGTCTGATTGAATAAATTACAGACATTATGTCTGCTAATTTTTAACAAAATCCGTTCATACTCACTAATAACCTTCCGTGTATTGATGTTAAATGATGATTTTTAAATGATGAGAGAAATATGCTATAGCTGTTTAAATTTCTTTTATTTTCATTTCCCAAGTACTTTTGATCTTCTTCGAAGATCATCTTCAGGGGTGCAAGTAGTACAAAACTATATGTTGTTTATTAGTACAAGTATTTATACAAAGTTGTGCGTTATTATACATTATCGTAATTTTTTTAATTATGCTTTTAAATGCAAAACGGTTGACAATGTGCTGAGCGTTTATTAGAAGGTGAAAAAAAATATCCATTATGGAATTTTTTTCCCTCTATGGTATAATGTCATGGTCGCGCATTAAAGCATGAAAAAACTGTTTCTTTACAGGCATTTCAGGACATTACTGCAGTATTCATACTTGATTATGTTTAGTGCGGGCTTTATTTGTTTTAATATAAATTACTTCCAATATCTGCAATCTAAATTTGTTGTTTTCACGATGTAGGATAGTTAGTTGTGTTATCGATTAGTTATTTTTTATATTATGAATGTGGACAGGAATGTTGTCGGTGTCTCGCAATGAACGAATGGTCAGACATGTAAACCTACTTGTTAGTGTATTTGTCGTATATCCAACATATATATTTGTTTTGTTTTTTTGTTGGAGATACATTCTCCCAAGGGACATTTAAATTGGCATATAATGTTGGTTTTTACGTAATACATCAGTTATAGCACATTTTTCTCATTCTTTAACGGAACGTTATTTGTGAGTGTGAACGGATTTTATTAAAAATTAGCAGACATAATGTCTGTAATTTATTTAATCAGACACACACACACACACACACACACACACACACACACACACACACACACATATATATATATAGTTATTACTTATTAAAAATATAATTTATGATTATATATTGAGTGTTAAGAGGAGATTACAATTTATTAACGTATCTATTTCAATATAGCTGATGCAGAAAATCTTGTAGATGACGTAATCAAATAGTAGACAACCCCGGAAGATTGTGGGATCTACTCGCGTGGCAGGCTAATCCTTGTTACAGACCTTTCCTCGGGTACATTTGTAGTTTTTCCAAACTTGCTTTCCAGACTTCTCCACAAAAGCGACAGCAGATATATGATCAAAATCAAGCCTGCTGGATAGAGCATAAACCTTGTGTGAATAGTTAAACAAAGCCTGTACGCTCAAACACTCGGTCACGATGACTTGTGTCTTCGTGCTAGTACAGCCAACAACGGATTCCGAACAGTTTATCCGACCTAATTCCCCTCCCAAGACTTGGGTCAATATGGTGGTATGGCTTTCGGGCACGTCACAACGTCGCCTCGCACTAGGACCGTCTTGATATTACAAAGAAGTTATCCCCCCTGAAGACATTGGGTACTTTCTCTGTTGTGCATAATGCGGCACGATGCTCACTGGAGACCGAAAAGCACCCCACCACGCCAGAGAGGAAAACGAGATACGTGTTATCTCTAAGGAATCCTGTGACTAAAAAGACTAGAGACTTTGGCGCCCTTTTATTAGATACTGCTTTTGGTAGAAATAGCTAAACTGTCAGATCCTTGGTTAAAAATGGCTTCAAGCGAGTGAAGCATGTAGGCTCACCCTTCTTCTGACCTCATGAATTGGCGCTACAGAATCACAAAAAAAAAACTGTATTTAAAAAGAGAAACCACATTGAGGACTTCCAAAAGCATCAACAAAATGGATAGCACACGTAACCCAATGTGAAGATAATTTCATAATCAAGTGATTGACATTCATCGCTACAAACAAAAGGTTAGGAAGGAAACACCTACCATTAATAACGGAAATATCGATAACAGTTACTGGACTTGGAAAACCTATTTTCCTTAAGAGTTGTTTTAAGTGAAAGATTTTATAAATTTCAAATGAAAGTAGCACTGGCTGTTCGATCAATGAATGCCTAATGTTACCTTATAAGGAAACAATTAATACTAACATTACCATGACGCCGTCGTTAGCAGAAGTTCCTTGGCAGACAAGTGGGGTAATCACAGTTTAAGTAAATTCTGATCGAACTCATGAGATATTTTCCACTTCTTTGATCATTTGAACCGAAGTAAATAATAATAATAATAAAGAGGGAGAGGAAGAAGAAGAAATCAGGATTTTGAATGCTGATTTCCAAGGCAGGCGTTCTCCATCTGATGCAACACGATCTTTCTTCCTTTTTCTTTTTTCCATTTTTTTTTTTTTTGTGCTAAGCTTATGGGCGAGAAATCTTGGCATATTTGTTTTCTCACTCCCTTACCTGTTGTCGTCCTAATGTTGCATTCTTTGCATTTCGAAGCGGCCATGTCCGCCATTTCATTTCTCCTTCGACTTTCGTTCGGGTTAAGTGTTGACGTCCATTTTTTTTTTTTTTTTTTTTTTCCATTTCTTTTTCGCTTTTTTATATAAAAATAACTTGCCTTCCAGACATCTCCACAAAAGCGACATCAGATGCATATTTTAAGTGAGTTTGTCAAGTCAGTGGAGTGAGTAAGGAAAAAAAAAAAAGGATTGGACTTAAAAAAAAAAAACTCGATTTAAAAAAATCTAAATTTAAAAAAAATAATTAAAACTAGATAAAAAATGTCTTCTGTTTTTTTTTAGTCCAATAAATTCAGCCAAGCTGATGATACGACAGCAAATTCAGCAAAAAGTAAATCTAAATTTTAATTCTTCTTATTCAATGACATTTAATGAAATATTAATGGGTCATTTTAGCCCAGAATGTTTGCACTCGTACGCCCCACCGTGAAGAACGTCGTGTGTGTTTTTTTAGGTCTGAGCTTTTTCGTTCGCCCTTAAAGAAAGCTAACGTTTACGCTATAATTCTGAATTTTTTTTTTACAGTAAGGTTCACCCTGTACAAGTCCCGAGAGCCACTCGAAGTAGAGAGTTATGTTAAGGGCTACTTTATGGGTAGGTGGGGAAGTTGACTCTTGTAGTGATCGGGGAAACACCCTCTTGGGAGTCGGTTCCACAGAGCAGTAGTTCGTGGGAAGAAGCTGTTCGAGTGGAACTTACTTCTCGCTGATGGAATACGGAGGAAATGTGGATGGTTTGATTTGATGTAAGTGGCATGGCAGACCCTAGCCATGAAGGTTAAACCAGGCGGAACCAAGAAATGTAGTTTTTCCTAGCACTTTCCATGAAAGTAGTGATCGAGCAGTGGTAGGCTCGCCACATCCCACCTGAGGTTGGAAAATAATTCGTCACCCACAAGAACTCGGAGACGCTATGGAAGCCTTAATTGATTGTTTTTTTTACGGTTTATCAACCTCTTTGCAGGTCATTTAAAGCCAGAATTTTTTTTTTTTTTAGATTGTAATAATTCTTTTTTGTTTTGAGATGATAACGAATTAGTTATTAATTTAAATCATAGCTGGAGGGAGAAGTGGATTCATGCCTTTCCTTTGCGTGTAAGTGAATATAACGAACCCAGCTGTAATTGGAACTCGGCTCTGATTAACAATTCCGAGATATTATTCATTATACAACCTGCATATCGAAGCGTACAGCACCTGGTATTCCCAAGTGGTCACCCACCTAAGCATTGGCCAGACACGATGTTGCTTAACTTCGGCAATCGTATGGGGTGGGGGTGACCGGTGTTTAAACACACAAGCCTTAATAAAATGAATACGCTGTATTTTCTTTGTTCACCGACTAGAAAATTATTTTGTGATGTTCGTTTCTTAAAGATTGGATTGGGGTCAAATTTTCTTTTCTGTCCCAAACGGCAGATTTGTGTATCTTTTTTTTTTTTTGCTCGGATGGCAAGTCGTCAGATTTTTACAGCTTAGACCGAAAAAGAGGTCAATGCCGTTAAAAGTTCAAAATAATAAGGAAAAACACAACAACAAAACAATATAAGACAAAACATTTTTTTTTTATTTGTTCCCCACCTGAGCAACATTTTTATAACAAGAGGGAATTGAAATGTTTATTTCGTTGGTCCCAACCCACTTCAAGGGCAGGGGTCGGAAACCTATGGCCTGCGTCCTACACGTAGCACGTCAAGCAATTTCCAATGGAACGCAGCCACAAATGACATCACAAAGTCCGAACCAATACCGACTACAATGCAAAGGAGATATTTAGCCGTTTCATTTTTAAAGTAGATACACTATATATTACTATCTCTATCTATAAAAGGCAGGATGTGTGTGTGTGTGTGTGTAACGAATGCACGGATTTGCACCAAAATTTACATGCACATGCTCCAAGTTAGCGGGAAGACCAAGACTGACTTTGCATTTCCCAATTCCCATCGATAGTTGAAATAATCGATTTTTTCATGCTTCTACGGCAGTTTTCATGTAGTTTGCAGCCAGAGTGAGAGCCTATAGCTGGCTGCCACGAATAGGCAGGAAGATTCTATTGGCCAGCGTGAGAGCCAACAGCTGACTGACACGAATGTTAACTAGCATGCTAGCATGCAAAAAAAAAAAAAAAAAAAAAAAAAAATCGATAGCTGCATTCGTCACAAGTGGGAAAAATTTTAATCTGCATGGCACTTTACTCCAATTGGCTCATTCGCTTGCTGAAACTCAACGTTGATTCTGATTCTGAAGAAGTGGGTCGGATGTGAAAAAGTATTTGTTGTTAACATTTTTTTTTCATTCGGTTTTTCCAGTTATGAGTCCTTTTTTAAAGCTGATCGTTTTGTGTTCATTTTGTTTAGTTCTTTTTTCGTAACAGATTTAATGTTTAGTATAGAGCTTAGAAAAAATTTGCAGTGTGAGATAGGCAAGAAGTAAGGCGTGTAGCAACATCAGCACAGCAAAGGGTACTCCTTTAAAGGCAAGGAAGGGCAAAAATATTTTAAGTCAAGTAATAGTGATTGCTGTATGAGTCGCACGATTTTTGAATCAAGCACGGGCAACGCTGGGCCATGCTGCTAGTATAAGACATATTGTAGAACAGACATATTGACCTTGACTTGTATAGAAATACGTATGCTGTTGGCACACTGAATGATTTTAAAATCCTAAGTTGTCACATAGTTAGCAAAAGGTTACCGACCCTTGGCTTGGGGGACTAAGGAAAGTAAGGAAAATGGAAAAACAAATCACAGAATTAGAAAGAGACAGTTTAAATTTCAGGAAAACATGATAAGGATAGAGGGTTTGGTGAATTCAACACTCACAGGATATATAGAAGACAAGAGGGAAACAGTGAGTAACCATATCAATGAGTGTGTGTAAATGGATGGCAGAACAGGTAGTGGGAATGAGATTAAAAAATGCTAACATTGATAAGAGCTACAAAAGAAAGGAAGTTATGGAGAGCTATGATCACCCATGCCCTGAAGGGACATAAGATGAAGGCTTATATATTTTTTTTTAATTTAAATAAAAAAATAAAAAAATAACGGCCATAATTTTAAAGTATGGAAGTCTAAAAAGAAAAAAAAATTCTTGTTAGCTTTCCATACTTTAAAATTATGGCCGTTAGCTTTTGATGAAAAAGAAACTTTTTTTTTTAAACACTCATCACACATTTTGCCTTACAGTAGTAATGCATGGGTTCAGTTCAGTAAGGCGATAAACTACATCCAACAGCAAGGCCTCTGATCAGGAGGTTTTGAGGAGCATGGAACCATCTCTTAATTGCTGTTGTTACCAGGTCTACCCTGACCCGGGGTGGTAGCACCTGTCAGGGTCCTTGCTATGGGCAAATAGTTAAACCCCGCCTCCCAAGGGGTCAAAACACAATGAAAATATAAAAATAGGTTTTAATACCAGCAATACATTTTTGTAAAAAATTATTACTAGCAATGAATTTTGAAGAAAAAAATTATTACCAACGATACATTTGGTTGATCATGTCTTTTTTAATCCATGACTGACTTGGTAGAAGATTTTCCCACAATAGGTTGCCATTTCTTTGTGATAGACTAGTTGCCAACCAAGGATATAGGACCAAGTTTTTCCAGCTATTCAACCTATAGCTGGGGGTAGTAAAGATGGACTTGTTCCTTTCCAAAAGGTATTTGCATGCAAGTAATTGCAATGAACCCAACTGGAATTTGAACTCAGCTCTTTGATTTCTCAAGCCATTACTAATTACATGACAATGTGTATTAGTCTGTAAATAATAAAAAATAGTTATGTATAGGCTTGCCTGTGTTTCTGCTACATTTTTGAAATTCCATTTATTACGAATGATAAATACTAACGTTTTGACACACTTACAGGGAGACATTTTCTTAATGTACAATCATTATGGCTGTCCTAGTCTTGATTATTGGTGCACAGAAATAGTCATTGCATTTAAAGGGATAGAAATCTGTTAGTAAAAGTTCAAAGACATGCAATCGAGTTTGTACATCAATTATAGAATAAGAGGTTGAAAGAATCACGTTCACTAACATTCAAAACTACGTGACCAACTTGACTTAATAGAAAAGATGAAAATTACTTGTCTTATAAACATCTTTATCACCTATCACATCTTTTGAACAGGAGTATATTTTTATCCTTTGTTTACTGTTTAGGATTAGGTTTTTGGTTCTTTCTAAAGTTTTCTCATTTTATTTCATTCCCAGTAACCACTTGCACCTTAGTGACATTATTGCCTTGCTTGAGGTGAATTGATTAAAAAAAATAAAAAAACTGATTTGAAAATCTGAACTCAATTTCTATTTAATATATGCTTTTATATACCCTCACTAAGAATAAATGCATTATATTATTGTATTTCCAAGATGGATTTCCTTTCCAAGGCTAAAGAGCTCCAATTATGACACTGACAGATTGATAGACTGACAGTTATAAACTTGTGGGCATAGATATAAACAGATTAGAGAAGGCTGAGAGATAGAAGACATAACGCATGGTTGTTAGCAAAAGGGACATTCCAAAATGCAAATTACAAATCGGGGATACCAAAATCAAAAAAGTCCAACAATTTAAATATCTGTGTTTTAACAGAGGAGGGAAAGTGTGACACTGAAATCCAAGGGCATATTGGGATAGCCAAAGATGCATTTCAAAAGCTAAGCAGAGTATTAAGAAACAGAAAAACTGTCAGAAACAAAGAGTGTTATGTAATATTTGTCTTTCTGTAGGGCAGTGAGTGCTGGACAATCTCCTCAAAGGAGGAAGAGACTTGAAGCAACAGATATGTGATTCTACAGAAGGATGCTGAGAATACCATGAACTGAATATATGAGCAAAACAAAGTTTTAAGAGAAAATGGAAACAAAAAGGAAATTTATACTTGACATCATGAAGAGAAAGATGAGGTTTCTAGGGTACATAATTAGGAAAGAGGGCTAGGAAAATCTGATACTCACAGGACAGGTTGAAGCCAAGAGAGACAGAGGAAAACAATGTATAAACTATTCAATGAACTTGAGTGAATGGATGGTGGAACAAGGTTTAGGAGAAATAACAAAAAGATAATTTATTAAGAGCTACAAAGGACAGGAAATTGTGAAGAGTCATGATCACCTTATGCCCTGAGTGGGACATGGTACATAAAGAAGAGAAATACAAAGAGACATAGGGAGAGATATAAACAGAATAACAGATATGAAGAAAGGGGGAGAAATAAATAGGAACAGATTAAGAGCTAGTTATAAAAAGACTGAAATAAATGTATTGGTAAATTGAGATATATAGATAGATATGAGCAAATTGATATATATATATATATATATATAAATATATTTCAAGTTTAGTGTCAACCATTACCCATCATACATATCATCATAATCTGCACTTACTTCTCCCTTTCACATCCATAAAACAACCCCATTTGTTAGCCTTCTACTTTGAGTGGCACTCTGGACTTGTATTGTGTGAACATTTAGTCATTAAAAAAACACAAAAAAAAACTACCTGTAGCTGTGGGTAAAAGCAGGTTCATGCCTTTCCTAACAATATTAGTGCCAGACTTTGAATTTGGTTTATTGATTCCATTTTGGGAGGCGTGGTGGAGTAATGGATAGCTGCTTGGATTGAAGAATCAGAGATCCGAGTTCAAATTTCATTTGGATCCATTACATTCACTTACATGCTAATACCCTTGGGAACAGTATGAATCTTCTACTTCTCCCCTCTAGCTAAGGGTAAGTAGCAGGACAGCTTGGTTTCTATAGCCTTGGATGGCAACCAGTCTAGAAGGAAAACTGAATTCAAAACTGTATGTAGCCCTGATGTAGCACATACTATACAGCTAAAGAAAGGAACATTCGCATTCACTTGATGATCCCAACTTGTGTCAAATGATGACGATGATTCCAGTTTTTGTGCCATTAACTGTTAGCCCGCTCCCAATCAATACTTGATAAAAAAAAAAAAAAAAAATAGTTTTACTGTTTTTTTTTTTTTAAATTTTATTTATTTTCAATATTGAACAAAAAAGCATTTACAATGAAAACAATGAAGAAAATGACATTCATAGCTTTGTCCAGAATTTGCACGAGAAAAATCCTTTCTTTCTTTTTCTCTTTCACACATGCACAAAATTTAAAATAAAGATAAAAATAAATAAAAAATTAAATCATAAAAAAACTGCAAACTTAATTTTTAAAAATTAATTTGTAAATTTTAATGGTTAAAAAAAAAACAAAAAAAAAACAACAAACAAAAAAAAAAACAAATA